TGAATAAGAATAACAACATATCGAATAAGGGGTGTGTTAGAGCATGATAGATGCATTTCTCAAAGGTTTTCACTGAGGCATCCTGGGGCTGAAGAAAGGGAATGAGTAGCCAGGAACCAACACTGGTGTCAGGCTCCAGAACTAAGAATTTATTATGTGCTTGTTATAGGTCCTCTATTTCTATTGGACAGAATAACATGGAAGTAAAGGAAGTCTGCATCCATCTGTGTTCAATATTGTACGTATCTTGATACCTATTGCACAGCTAATGCACTATCAGTCAGTGCACATTACTGCATGATTTCTTCAGAAAATACTGGGTACACCTTTTCTTGTTGCAATTTTTTGTTGAGGTTGGAATTTACTACCTGCTCAATTCCTTCTGTGAACAGGCTTACTCTAAACTCCTTCTTAGTAATTCTTGTTTCATCTGACATTGCTATCTTCTGTGTTTCAAGAACGTTTCCCATTTTAGAGATATCCTTTGATATAGGTAATGCTTTATGCTAGCTGAATGTGTAAAGGCATAAATATTTCTCTAGTAATCAGATAGAAAAGACACTACAGTAAAAGTCCATTATCTCCTTCTGTTTGCCACAAGTCTGACTATTGTCTGTGACAGTCTTAAGTCAGACAAGGTGTCTGCTCCTGCTTAGTCATCAACACCCTTCACAGGAGGCAGAAGTTTTTAGAAAGCAAACCAAGGCTTGTGGGTCTGCCCAAAGTTTCCAGTAGCATAGGCAAAATTAAATTTGTCATCTTTAAGATAAGGAAGAAGTAACTTACTTTGCTTTCATACACAGGTTGATAAAATTAATTTTTTATTGCAGCAAAGCATGTGCCATCTTCTACTCATGCTCAGTCTCTGCTTAAAGCTGGCCACAGTTATGTCTATTTGCCTACCATTTCTACTCTTCCCTTCCTTTGCAGATTATCAGTATTTTAAGTACCTAAACAAAGGCATGAAAACAAAGGCATTTGCATGAACTGTATAACCACAGAATTAAATGCAGTAAATAAACACTCACTTTAGTAAAGCACAAACATTACATAGATGATAGTTCTTCCTAGATTCAGTATGCTGCAGCTGCAGAAGCTTGCTGTGCTTGTAAAATAGTTTTACACAATCACAAACTTATTCAAGGAGGAGAAAAACTAGACTGAGGTTGAATATTTTGCACACATGTAAACAGACTTGAACCTGGCAACAGCAGTGCTGGTCTTGCTGAAGTTTATAGGGTCACTGATTTTAGTAGATCCAGGGTCTCATTCCCTCTATTTTAGAAAATAATTGGAGGGGTTGGCAGCATCTTTCACTAATGGAGCATAAGGGAGATTCTTGGCTCCATTAGATCTTTAACTTCTAGATAGATAAAGTTAATCTAAAATAGGCTCCCTCTATAGTTAATGGATGCAGATAGACATCTCCAGAGGGTGTTTCATCCCACCTAGTTTTGATGTATACCAAGGAAGAACTGCCCTCAGGAGATGCATGTTTTCTGTGCTGATTGTAGAGAGAATCCAAAGGACTAGTGCATTTACATGTCTAGCTTTCAGATAACTAACTTTATATTAAACAAATACCACTCTGAGTAGATATTTAGAAGTAGATATTTTATAAAGTCTTGTGATCTCACTCCCAAAATGAAAATAAAAATGCAGAATAAACAAGTTACGTATTAAAACTGGTATATAGATGCATGCAAAGAAGGTAATGGGACTCTCACAACACCATTAACTTTTACTTAACTTGCTAGATAACCCTTATTTATTTGGTCAGTCTGAGTAAAGAATTTCTATGTTATATTATCCATAAAGCCACACAGCTAGAGTGATATTCATTGCCTTCATACACAGGCACTTACACAGTAACTTCTGCGTGTGGCTCTCTGAATCTCTTACAAACATTAATGAATTTAACTTCTCTATGAGCAAAATAGTATTATTATATTTCCTATACAGCTGTTGAAATTACAGCAGCAAACATAGGATAGATTCTAGTGCTTCAGAAATACAAAGTTTCATTTAATGTTCATCCTATGAATGTAAATATGAAACAAAGACTTTTGAAAGCTGCTTTCTGGAAGAAATGGTTCTTGGCAGTAGTGTCAAAATTACAACTGTCTCTCATTTTTGTGCAACTTATGAGTGACAATCATCATAGAACAGAAGATTAAAAATCAGACATGCCGAGATGCTTCAAAATCTGGCCAAATGAAGAAATATATTTCTAAGGCAGTTCGGAGGAAAGTTTGCAACTTAATACATGACATTGTCTTTTCCATCATAATACACTATACATATTATGGTGAGTGTATATTATAAGACTAGCTGGGAAACATGTATCATCACTATTTTAAAAATGTTTAGTTTTTCAACACAGTGTTTATTCTGAATTAGAATAAAAATAATCTTTGATTTTTTAAAAAATATTGTACCTGTGCTCATGAAAAAAATATTATTTAATTTCAAGTGCCAAAAACCCCCTGTCATAGCCATATACTATTAGATAAGCCGGTACTCTATACATTGTATAATGTGCATGTCTACAAGCATATATTTATATCCAGAAAGGTTCAGAGGAAAACGCCAATAACATTAAAGACTGTGTTAAAATTTTCAGGAGATTGTCTTTTATTATTTTGATCATCTAAAATGTGTCTAATAACTCTACAGACATATAACTCACTGGGGGAAGAACATTTCAAAGACCATTTCAAAAACTTATGCCTTGAAGTATCACATATGTTTTGTATTTTTGAAAATAAATAGATTCACAATAATATTGACTAGCCTGGAATGCCTGATTTATTGGATGAAAACATCAGATTATTCAGTCATTTTTATGTTTTGATCATTAAAAGGATCATTCTTTAATTTATGGAAGTAGACAACTAGACATTTTTCATGTGTATACACATGCATGAACACAGAAATTAGTGTCTCTGCAGTATCTTTTATTATTCTAATCACTGGTAAAGAGTAGACAGTTAATATTATATCTCCATCATTATGTATTTCAGCTGTCAGAACATTTCCACCAAGAACACATCAACTATCCTTTCTCCATAAAAAAGCATTACAGGATTTACTTCTAAAAGACCCTTGTGGTCCAGACAGAAATACAGGGACCTCCAGAGATCACTGTCAACTGTTTGGAGCCATCCATTTCAGTAGTAAATTCCCTGGTAGGCCAACTTCTACCCAAGAAATATTGTTGGCTCTGTTTGTAGCATAGTATATTCAGTCCACATTTCCAAGAAGAAATGTGGACTAGAAGTTATTTCTGGATAATTTTGTTCAGTGTGTCTGCTCCCTCACCTTATTCTGACCAAAATACTTGTCTCAGGTTCTTCAAGTGGGGTTTCTCCCCTGCAAGAAGCAGATAGTTCAGAGGAGGCCGCTCTTTCTCTGAATGCGACATTTCTTGCCTTTCAGCTTATGGGAGAATAGATAACACTGACTGAAGACTCAAGACAAAGAACACTGAATGTCTAAAGCTTGCAAGGAGTTACAGTACAGGGCATTTCTCCCTCTCAGGTTAGCAGCCTGTTTCAGCCACAGGGCTTTTCTCATCAGATGAGTTTACCTGCCTTAGCACTACTTTTGGATCTCAGTGCCAGAAATACCTAGAAAAGTATCTACTAATTATCTGATAAATGTGTTTGTTCATGTCTGAAGTGCAGCTTATCTAATTGCCTGTGCCCTTCCTATTTTCCTCTAAGGGGTGGGTTTAGTTGAGAGTTCTCCCAAAGAGCTTGCTTTTCATGTGAGTAATTATGTGCTTTGATTGCTTCGAAGGGATATTAGCTCATCTGCCAATGGCAGCAAACGAGAAAAAAAAAATATTCTCAAGGAGATTCAGATCTAAAATAAAACAGCGCAAAGAATTTTGGATTTGTGGCTTCAGACTTTATTAAAATCAACATAAAGCTAACAGTGAGGCTTGTTAGAAAGTACTAGCAGATCTGTGTTACTGGAAGTGCTGTCTTAAGGGCATAAACTTGTAAGGCCAAGTCACTAATCAGCTTTGTACTTGGAAGCCAGGAGACTGAAAAGTTAGTAAAAACAATCAAACACACAAGAAAAAAAATTAGGTGTTATTAAGAGGATAAACTCTTGCAAAATCTTGCAAACTCTGCAAATCCATTCGCAACTGTTCCTACATCTGAAATTCCCACTACTCACTATGTCTTGCCAACCCATCTTCGAGGCCTAGATGTCCCTTTCTTTATGTTTTGCAAATCTTGAGGAACTACTATGAATCTGATGGCAGCAGAATATAGTTCAGCTTCTGTCATAGTTTGAGCCCAGGGGGCAGCTGAGCACCACACAGCCATTCACTCTCCCCTTCCCCCATCACTGAGAAGGAGGAAATGAAGCAAAAGTCTCAGGAATCAAGATAAGGACAGAGAGGGGTGTCTCACCAAAAAAAAAAAAAAAAAAAAAAAAAAGAAGAAGAACCTCACTTTAATTCAAACACTAACAAAACCAACACTTAACACAAAGTGAGACAGTGAGAAGCATTACCATATCTTAAAAACACCTTCCCCCCACCCTTGCTTTCCCCTCTGGCTCAGTTTTTTTCCTGATATCTCTACCTTCGCTCCCCAGTGGCACAGGGGCAAGGAATGAGGTGATGCAGTCAGTCCCAACGCTTCTTCCTTCTCAGGGCAGTGGGTGGGGCTCTCCTCTGACTTTCTCTGTCGTAAGTTCTGACCACGGGCTGCAGCCATTCAGGGGCTGCTCTGGCATCAGTCACACCTACATGTTGCAGTCCTCCCAGCATCGAACTACAACTCCTTCCCACAGAGCCATGGCCTTCTTTGTACACAGCTGCCCGCTCCAGTGTGGCATCCTCCACGGGCCACAGGCGAATCTCTTCACCTTTGGTGACCTCCATGGTGTCGGAGGGGCATCCCTGCCTTCTCACCGTGGGACACAGGGAGGGTCTCTGCTCTGGTGCGCCTCCTCTCCTTCCTCTTCCTCCCACTGACTTTGGTGTCTGCATAGGTATCCTTCTTGTAACTCCTCCTCATAAGTCCCAATCCCCTCTCAGGTTGCCCTTCTTAATTATGTTATCGCAGACTAATTGGCTCAACCTTGGCCACAGGTGGATCCAACTTGGTGCTGGTGGAGATTCTGAGAAGCTTTTCACAGGGGACCACCACTGTAGCCCACTCCCCTGCTACCAAAAACCTCACCACACAAACCCTGCACAGCTTCTTACTAGATCTACTGGACTTTGAATGAGAGGACAAGAACTCAATCCTTTTCATAGGACATATAAGCATTAACTTGGGGAGAATATGGTTCAGCTTCATTCAGTAAAGTAGAAAGCATTAATCTGGATAATACTAAAAAATACAAGATAAATTGTAACAGATATATATATATATATTGCATACAAAATAAAATAATGTTTGCATTTATCAACAAGCATATGAATGAAGGAGAATGTTAACACAGAAGGTTATATAGGATCATTTGATGAATGAAGCCTTCACTAAAGGCTCTTAAAGAACCTAAAAATCAGTAGGACAATATGTATCTGCACACAAAACTAAGGAAACAATTAAAAGGCAGGAAACAACGAGCAGTTTTTACTTTCTCAAGTGGTTGCAGCTAAAGTCTGACAAAGAGCTATGCCATGGATGGTGTTAAGCAATATAAAAATTCTTGAAAGGGTATGAGCTGGAAAAAATTATTGTTGCTCATCAGGGCTGACTGCTAAGAACTACAGACTAACTCATTATACTTAGTGATAGAATGAGTGATGAACTTCAAGATAGATTAACATTTAAAAAAGGGGGTTGGGGGGGAAGAACTTTCCTTATTCACAGATACAGGGATGGTCTCTTGACTTACTGTTACTCCAAGATAAAAAAATCTTATTAATATATTGGGAACTTTATGAAAATGTCAACTCAGGATAATTTTGTGAACAAAACCAAATATACAGACTAGGACTCTTCAGCTTGAAAAAGCGATGACTGAAAGGGATATAACAGAGGTCTACAAAATCAAAAGTGACAGAAGACTATGAACTGAGAACTGTTGTTCATCATTTTCCATCAATACAAGAGCTAGGGGCAAGAACTGAGATTAGTAGATTTCATATTCAATACAGCAACAACAATAAAAGAGATTTCTTCGTACAACCAATGTTGTGTGCCAGAAGATCGTGTAGCTGCTAAAATTCACATGGTTGCAAGAAATGACCAAACCTATCCACTGAAGAAAAAAGCCACCACACACCATTACAGAGCTCATCAGTGATGTAATTAGGAAGGCCCTGTGAAATAATTTGTTGGATGGTGGAAGAATATACCTAATAAATAATATCACATGTGGTCATCTTATATTGTTTCTTATGCTCTGTCGTGAGTTTACATTCTCAAGTTAGAACAAAATTATTAAAACCGTAGAGCTAAAGCAAAATACAAGACAAAAGAACCAGGTCTGGTATCAAAGCTTATCAAATCTACTTAAATAATTTCATGCAGTTTCTTGCAAAAGCTGAACAAGTTCTACTTTGAAATGCGTCTGATGGCTAGTCTCCAATAACCCAAAAAAATCTTACTCATCCAAAGGTGGATTTTCAATCTTAAATTGTTCCAAGCAAATTTGTAAGCAGTTTTTTTAGTGACCACTGTACCCTAAAAGGTCTTTGTTCCCTCAGTGTCAATTGTTGCTCCCTTGTCTTCCCTTCATCCCTAATTAGCAACAGAAGCAGATCAATTATACCTTCTTCCAAATTTCATCTTGCTGGTTTAAAGAAATTGAGCTTTTTATGAAATTAAACCTTTGGACCTGATGAAATTGTATTATTTTATACACTTTTTAAAAGCAAGAAGTATTTCATTTTGATGACAGCACCTTTTCTAACAATGAGGTGCTTCAGCCCTTAATGAACTCTGCAGTATGCAAGTACGCAGTCCGACTGAACTAACACTGCTTAGGTACCTCTAAATATGGACCACCCACACTAAAATATCAGTAAAGCTGATTTCATCAGGGAAAAACAGAACTCATTTTTCTTTTGTGTTTGTTTGCTTGTCTTGGGAGTTAATTTCTGGCACCCTAAATGGAACCAAAAAAAATTAAAGAGAAAATGGAAATACGACAATGAGAGAAATAAAATAATAAAAATAATATCACAAAAATATTCCATGAAGTTAAAATGGATTAGTAGCTAGTTAGATAACACAGTGACGAAAAGCAATTGTAAAGCTAGAACTATATAAAATGGAATGTACAAGTAGTGTGAGAGGGTCATTGAAGACTAACATGTTCCTGCAGACTGAAGATCATAATGGGAACATATGCATAATGAAAAAGATATAAAATATGTTTCTGCATGCAATACTGGATATAACTTAGCTTTTAATTTTTTTTTTCAATGTCTTTATGTCCTGTTCAGTATGTGTGCAATAACTTTTTCAATGCATACAGAAATGCTTAGGTATCAGTAAGTACTGGTGGTAGGATCGATATTCTGCATATATCCATATATTTATGGTTTAATACTATTTAGCAATGATAGTCTTCCATCTTGAATATTCTTTTGATCCAGTTAGATATGACCCCTTCTGTCAGTACACATGATAGAGCCTCATCTCAGCCAAACACATAATAATTCTTCATTTCACTGAAGAAAAAAAAATCACAAGATTTGTAAAATTCACAGAAGACAAGCAATGATAGGAAATTGTGTGTATTTTTTTTTTTTTTAATCATCTCACTTGAAGGATCCTCACACATCCAGAAGGAAAAATAGATTAAATAGAAGTGAAACAGAAGTATGGCAGTGTCCAACACATCTTAATATTAAAGAAGTAAAGCTTTGATCCTCCATTGACTAGACTTGTGCAAACTCTCAGATACCCTAATCTGACTATAAATTTACATTTCTTTTATCTTATAACCCTTTATATTCTTTTTTTTTTTTCCTGAACAGACTGCTGCTAACATTGTTGACTGCAAACCCCACCAATGTATGAAATTCAGTTAAATAATTGTCTATTGCTAAGAGTATTGCAAAGAGCTGCCATTCCTATAAGAATAAATTTTCAGCAAGATAGTGGAATGTGATGTGGCTGTCTTATTTAGAAGATGTGCAATTTAACCATGGAAGTAAAGTACTCCTGGATGATTGGAAATATCTACATCTGTGTTATTTCTGTAAGTTATCTGTAGCACAGCAGATGTCTCACAGCAAGTGTTGTCTTGTGAGAAGGGAAGCCAATACTGAGACACAGAGAGGTGCCAGCTCACAGGGTTACAGATCTTCAGTGATAAACCTCCACACTCTAGGAGTCCAGACATGGTGGTAACTTAGCAGGGTCTTTAAGCTTTTGAAAAAACAGGGGACAAAACATACCCTAAGCAATATAGACCACTACACTGTTACTACTAACAACCTTTGTCTCAGTCCCACGCTCCTTTCCAAACTGATAGGGAGAAAGCCAGGTGACTTCTGTCTGAAGCACTATAGAGAAAAGTATAAGCAATACCACAACCACTTCTTTCATGCTCAGGCAAACAGCTACAGGGAAGTATAAGGAGCCAATGGCAAGCTGAAGGAGAGAGATGTTCACAGTTCCCCGATACTGTTATGAAACACGCACACTCCTGCAAAGTACTTTTTGCTTCAGTATCAAATCTGAAAAAAACCCCAAAGACTGCCAAGTAGCCTGAAGGGAACTGTGATGAAACATCCCTACCCTCTTCTCTTCCAACCTACTCTCTTCCCTGCCTCTTTTCTTAGTCTACTGCTTTCCCTTCAACTAATCATCCCTGAAAAAATAAACAAAAGAAAATATTTTTTTCTTATTGTGGAGCTGGAATGATCCTCACATACCACCAGAGAGTGGGTGCCCTATCCTTCTTGCTATTATTTCTCTTATCTTCTATCCTAAGATCATGCCTTCTTTAGTAGGGAATGATATTCATTCCATGGTGTCTAGAACAACCTCAAGTTTGACTGGCTCCTCTTACCACATCAAACAACAATCTGACAACTAGAAATGACACCTTATTATATGCTAAATAAAATTGTGAAGTCTCAAAAGTCTGCAAGTGAGACGGGCATCTGAGCTTCTGTCAGTGGAGACATGTGTCTCAATTCAGTTATCTAAACATAGACATCTAGAGCTGTTTGGGTTATCTGAGATATTCATAAGGCAGGTACAACACAGATTCTATAGAACAGTTGAATCTTTCTGGGGTGGCAGCAAAAACCAGGTTGGGATACTATAGCTTGTCCACAATGACAACAGAGGCCTGGGTTTAGGCAGCCAAATTAAACCCCGAATCAGTGAAACCAGTGCACTGAAGATCTTCTCAGTAGTCATCTACTTTTGGTCAACTGATTTAACTCCACTGATTGCATCAAGAACTCTCTTGTCCTCAGCCCACCCTTGGTGGTGAAGAACCTACCAAATCAGAGGGAATTTATAGCAAGTTTGTATCACTGATCCAGTAGAAAACACTTAAATTTTGTGACAGAGACCCAGTGGATGCAAAATACAAGATCCCAGGAGAGAATGTTCAGAACAAATTCCTCACTTTCTGAAATTACCATAATTTTGAGAGCAAAGCAGGATGTCATAGGTTATTCAATTATTACAGAATTTGGAGTAATTCTTGTAGCAACATGGTGCAGGCAGAAAAAAAATATGAACATTTTTCCTGCTTCTTTCTGAGAAGCTGGAACATAAATTCTTCATGCATTGAGACTGGCGTCCAGTCAGACTGATGTCCTGACTGACTCTTATTCATATTTTCAAACTGCCACAACCAACCATCATCATGGAAAAGATACTGATACTTTGGCTGACCAACAGTGGTCACCTAAGATGCAACTAGATACCCTAGTTGCAGGTATGGGGGAAAAAAAAAATAAAAAAAATTAAAAAGCCCTGAGCAGAGAAGCATCTAAAATATTTTGATTTCTCATAATACTTGGGTGTTTACATATCTTAAGCTATTTTAAAACTCAGTGTATAAGAATGTATCTCCCCTGCAGTTGCATTTACTGAAAAGACATGTAAATAAATGTTGCACCAGCTAGAACCAACACCAGAATCAGCCTAGACACAGCATCATGATGTTGTTTGCAACTGTTTTCCTGAGTTTCTCAGTCAGGTTTTGAGCCTGCAGTGCTCAAGGCAACTGAATTTATGTTACCTAGACTGATTTACTGAGCTGATGGCACACTTAGTTTAACTTATGTATAGTACACTCTTAAATTTCTGTAACAAGTTTCAACTCATAGACCTAAACATTTTTAAAACAGTAAGTACCAGAGTTGAAAGTACAGCCAGTTAACTTATTTCACTGTAGCAATACAAAAAAGATAACTTAGAGCATCCATGCTTAAAAGTAGTTTAAAGCCAGGGGCTTTTCCCATGGCAGCAATTTATTATGTCACATGAATCTGTCAGCTTCTCTAGATTTAAGTTTACATTTGTGAGTTTTAACCTAAGAATTCACTGATTTAACATAGAGTTAACAACAGCTAGCATGTTTTGTATGTATCCTCAAAAATGTAAGCTATTAATTTTGTGCTGATTTTAAAGTGCTTAACTTCTCAGAGTTATAAACTGCTTTAAACATTAAAGGTACATAAGTTTCTTCTCACTGAATTAAATAAAAACTTTGTTATCAACATGAAGGAAACCGGAATCAGGCTCTTGGTGAATATTTAATGGATATTTTCAGGCCATGTTGGATGGGGCTTTGAGCAACCTGGTCTAGTGGAAGGTGTCCCTGCCCACGGCAGTGGGGTTGGAACTAGATGGTCTTTAAGGTCCTTTTCAACCCAAACCAGTCTATGATTCTATGATGGCATTAATAGGGTTAGCTGTGAACAAACACTACTTGGGAAAACAGTTTTCAACTAAATCGAATTGGTTTCAGTTAAGTGAGTATTCAGTTAAATCATAGTTTCAAACTTGTGAATTACTTATGGTGATTACTTTCATTCAGGCAGTAGCAGACACAGTTTCCATTAGACCTTCCAGCTTGACTGTCAAAGTAATAAAGAGATCAATAAAGCAACCATGGTTCATTTTGATATGGATTTTAATATATTTGACTTTTTAAAATAGTTTTGAGTCTATTACTTTGATTTATTATTTCTTGAAATGAAATCATTTGTTTAGCCATTGTAAACATTAGTATTTAACCACTTTACCAGTATTTTCTTTCTGATTAACAATCATCAAGCCCATATTTCATTGCAAACAATCCGCATTTGTGAGAAACATGCTAAAGGACAAACAATCCTTAACTATAGTTATTTTACTAACAAATGTTTTAGCATAATTACTTTGTTGTTTTCAATGCAAGAAAGAAAATCAAGTTACCACTTCATAATTATTATCTCTCAGAGCAGAGTTTGAAGTCCGGTCCCAATATTTTGTACTATACATGGACTGATTTTCAAACACTTTTATAAACTTACCAAGTATACTTATGTGCTGAAACACAAGTTCAGCTCCTTTGAAAGGCTGGACCTAAGGGCTTGATCCTGTGAAATGCTGGACTATACATGCAATATTTCCATGATCTTTCTGCTGCCTTCAGAGTAAATCTTCCCTACCACTACAAAATACACTTCCACATTCACACACATGGACAAACACACACACACAGAGACATGCACAGTTACCCCTTCTCTTTTTTATGTACTTTCTCTTTCCTTGAGCACCTCTATGTACACTCCTTCCCATCCCTTTAACTTTCTTCTAGTGCTCCCTTCTAAGAAAAAGTTCAAAGACTGAGAGGTTTAGCACTATTTGGATAAGCATGAAATTCTAGTTGCTTATCCCAATTACACAAAACCTCTAAGTCTTTTGAACTTTCCCTTAGAAGGGAGATCGCAAAATTTTATGCTTATCCAGGACACCTGGATTTTCAAACCTGAGCTGGAATTTTATGAGGATTGCCTCTCTTTCATGGGGTAGTACATGTACTAGGGTGAACACAGAAATAAGAAAAGCAGTGATTTATAATCCTGGATTTACTACTGTTTTTTGAAAACTTTGGTGGCCATCCTCCTGTCTCATCTGCTCTTTCTGTAAGATGAAACAAATGAAATTACCTACCCATCACAAGAAAGCTGTCAGGGCTTTTAATTCATAACCCATTGCACACGCATTACTCTACAGAATGAACATGATAATGCTGTTACCTCTTAATGCTCTCCAGAACTAGAAGTTCAGACTGGTCAGTGCAGAAAAACAATGTAAGGAGCCAAATAAATTTTATTTGCTTGTGGTACCAGTACAAAAACCTGTAATTAAGCTTGTCCATATTTAGGTTTGCATGTATTTCATATATTCCATTTGGCTCATGATTTAAGATCTGGCATCATAAAATGTCATTCAAATTTCCCTTTATGACTTTGCAGGTTGAACAAAATCCTCAAGATTATGATTTTGCCTTAAAGTCTTGAAGCTGTCCTCCTATTCCTCAGCAATAGCATCTATAGACTGGCTGAGAACTTCAGTTTAAGCTTTTTCTTCTATAGTTATCACTGTTGTCAAAAGTATGGTTCTGAGAATGGCACTAGAGAATATTATTGCAATGCAAGGACAAATGGTCTGAGTATTGTTCCCCAAGCATGGAGGATGGAGATAGCAAGGCATCTGCCTTTCTTGTGGTCCTGTAACAGCTGAGTTTCTTTCAGTGTGCCTGGTTATGACAGTACCATCAGAAATATTTATGTTTCATACCTGTGGTTCTTATAAGAGTGCAGCAGACACACAGTAAAATAATGAAAGTGGCATTATTAGCATTAAATGTGATAACACTTGACAGCTTCATGTAAATGAGGACCTTACTAGGCAAAAACTGAAAAGGATGCTGCTTTTTCTTTAAAGTGAATTCAGGACTAAAATAACAACTGATCCAGGCTGGAACCCAGGAACACAGTGCCTGTGACACACAGAGGCACAAATTATCTTCTCTTACTCTCACTGCTTTTTTGGTCAGAAAAGGGTAATTTGCCTATTTTGAAATGAGTTGCATAATTCTTTCTTCAGCTGTTAGGAAGGGACGTGGGGGGAGAGAGAGACTGGGAGGTGGGGAAGGAGGGAGAGGATGCAGGCTGGACTGAGTGGCAGCACAGAACAGGACCAGCATTTTGAGTCCCCACCGGCTCTCCCTCTCTGTCAGAAACAGCCCAGGTGTTTTCAGACCTAAATGGATCAAATCAGAGCATTCCTCCATTGTTGTCACAACAGATGTAGCAGGTCCTCCTGATGTGGCTTCCAGCTTTCTCATCTTCTTGTCTTGTCAGAAAGTTGCCATCATTTAGAAAGGTACACAGTGTTTTGAAAGGATTAGGGTATAAAACACAACTCAGTCCTTTACCAAAGAGAGAGACAGAGAAAGGGAAAGGGAAAAGCAAAGTGTCAGGTGCTATAGAGCAGCTGGACAAGAACAACGTGCACAAATAAAAGTAGCAAATTGATTGAACTCCTCCTGCTGTGAAACCGGGGCAGAAAGAAATGATACATGACAAATACTGCTTGAGCAAAACAGGAGGTGCAAAATGTAGATTATTACAAGGTATAAAGGCAAAGGATTAAGTGACACCAACAAGGGAGAAGTCACTCCCCAAAAAAAGCACTAGTTCTACAATTCTTTAATGCTGACATGGGAAGCTTCTGCTTTATTATTAACTGTATATTAATTACTGAAATTTACAGGAATGGCAATAAATGCTGGTTATTATTGTACTAGCAAAGCCTGACAAGTTTCTTTTTCCCTTTCTTGGGCTTTTCCCTTAAACTACATCTCAGGAATTCCCCTTAAATATTGAGGTTGTCCACACTTCTTTCCTCCAAAAAAATGCCCTTGTGTGGGGGGTTTGCAGACTTTCTTCTACTCTATTTCACAAATTGTTAGTCTGCTCATGAGCTTGACACATTCAAAATATTTGTGGTGAAGAATGAATGAATATTCACTCCCATTAATAGGTCAAACATCTGTTATTTTACTGGGTATTTTAAAAATACTAACATGATGTATGATACATAGTCTCATGCAAGTCAGAAGTTGGTTATGATTTGGCACCAATAGTTTCTAACTTTAAACACTGAAACACACCATTCATTTAGAGAAAGATAAAAATATCCCATTTTTCATCACTTTATTATATTTTAATTATTTTCCTGTCAAATTCTGCAGCAAATAAAAAAAAAAAAACAAACAAACAAACAAACAAAAAAAAAACAAACCCAAACCACAAGAGACAAAGATTTGTAATACTCTTTTTACCAAGGACAATATTTTATTTGTTTCCCCTTAAATGAATATAAGGACTGTTTATAGCAGCTTTTACAGTCACAAAACCCCCATGATTAATCACAGGTAACTAATTCACAGGAGCTTTCATTTTCAGGAAGCTGATATAAAGAGATTTCATTAGTATCTTCTGCCAAGATGTAGCTAATTTACTTCTAATTTATGTTTTCTCCATTTTCTTTTCTTTTTATGTTACGGTACTTTTGTTTAGATGTTAGTGGTTACCCAAGTAAGCCACTATGCCAGTAATCACTTGCATACACAGATTCTGGAGTGTGATACACAATGAAACTTTTTCTACTGTAATACTGCCAAACAGCCTTTGCTAAAATGTGCATACTAACCAGACAACTTATTGACTGACTGTTCATGGGAATGTGAGGTGTCTGCAAGTGTGGTTTCCATGTGGCTTTCAGGAAGAAGTTCAAGTCTTTTGAATTGCCTAAGTCACCTTAACAACTTCAGAGACCTGACAACTCCTCCATTACTTTATCCAGTTTTTTTAAAAAAAAAAAAAAAAAAAAAAAAAAAAAAAAAAAGGTAATTTCCATGGAACTAATAGAATTTGTAATAAAAAGGCCGAAAGCAAAGAAACAACTTTGCATTCACATGTTCTGAATTTTTAGTGCATCTGTGAAGAGCTTACTGTGCTTCAGATCTTAAAAAGATTTCTCAATTTTAAAACTAACATACTTATTACAATAACAAATTATTAGTATACTTATACCTCATAGCTATTTTACAAGGTATTTTAATGCTTTTTTTACTAGACTTGATAACATTCAGAATCTTACTAAAATTGTGTCATACTGGATGTCAGTACAAATTTAACCCTTTTATTACATAAAACCTCTTGCATGCTGCAAGAGGTGCTGTGCTCTTACATTTTTCCTCTAGTTCTTAAAATGTTTGGTGACGTCACTAACATGACATCTCTCTAGATTGTCTTTCAACGTTCTTGCTGATCTGAGCAAGGAGCAAATATAAGTAGGTAAGCTCATTTATGCCCTGGATTAGCTAATCACTAAGCAAATGTCTCTGTTCATTCCCAGACACTACTAGCTTTCTCCTATCCATTTGTTGACAGGACAAAGCAGACTCACACCTACCCTGTCAATTAAACTATTCCTGAAAAAGAAGTAGCAATTATGCAAAACAAACCTGTAAAGAAAAGAGATGGCAATGTAGACCTCATCCTGAGTCTTGTTGGTTGTCCTGGTTCAGCTAGGATAGGGTTAAGTGGATAGGGTTAAGTTTCTCGCCAGCAGGGTGAAGGGATCTCCGGCTGGGTTATTCATACCATGCTGATGTCGGTGCGCAGCGTGTGAAGCTTTCATTTGTGGCTTTGGTCCTGGGAAGCAGCGCAGCGGGCTGTCTGTGTTCACTGCGATATTTCTCTGTATATCTTTTGTCTTGTTTACTGCTGTTAGTGTTTGTTGTTGTTATCATTGCTACTGTTGTTGTTCAGATTGTTTGTCACACTGTTGTATTAAATTTCTCCTTCTTTTAACCCAGGGTTTGTGCCTTACTTGTGTCCGAGGGTGGGGGAGGGACAACGGCAAAGCGGCCTCTGGTCCTGGCAGGGCCTAAACCACCACACTGGCATAAAGATTTCTTCAGGCACGGAATTATTAAACTTGTAGAAAAATGGCATATATATAAAATAGAAGCATTGTTCTTGTCCACTAGGATGTGCAATAAGGAAGAGATTAGTTATGTTGGTGGGTTTTTTGGGTGGAGTTTAGTGGTTACATTGCTCCAGTTTATGTCTAACCATATATTTAGCAAAACTGACAAACCAGATCAGCAACTAGATGGCTAAACAAAATATGTGCATCAGTCCGGCTGTGCAGTAGAGTTTATAAGAGAAGTTTCTTTTATGACCTGTTGAGTAGCCTAACCTGCAGTAGGAAGATCCTGCAAGAAAATAGCTTTGCGAGTGCCAGTTATGCAAAACCAGTAAGAATGCCCAAGGGCATTTCTGACTGATAGAGTACCCACTTAGATTATTATGGTGCTGGGTGCTCACACTTCATTCTTATTTGTAAGTAAATCCTGACTGCACATTTGGTCTGCTGTCTGGTCTCTCCTGAAGATGAGAGATTCATTCCTAAACTCCTGGCTGAGGAATAACTGTCTTATACCACTTCCTTTTATTTTCCCTGTTACAAACTATAGGCCAAGAGAATTATTCAGTGAATGCCAATGAGTAGTGGGAAATACTTTGCTATGGGATGCAGCTTGAAGAAGAAGCTTCTACTAAGGGAAAGATGAGGCAATAAGATCCTGAAGCACAACCCCCAGAGATACAAGGAAGGCACAGGAGAGCACAAATTCCAGTTAAGGTGTCAGACAAAACAAATCCATTAGTTTGAAGAATACCGGTATCTTTCATTTCAGATGCCACACTGGGCAGTCTCCCCATAGTCACTGGTCTTCAATTAAAAAAAAACAAACAAACAAAAAAAACCACAACAAAAAACAAAACAAAACAAAACAAAAACAAAAACACACACACAAAAAAAAAACACAACAAAAAAACCCCCAAACAACTAATATTCCAAGGCAAGTAATTCAGGTCTTATCTTTGTTTTGTTTTACTTTTTATGGGTTTTTTGGGGTTTTGCTTTTTTAAACCTCTTCATTTTTGTTTAATCACTCATATAATTCACAAAACAAAGATAAAGCAATTTTTCTTAACACTTTCTAATTTTTGCTCCTCTACCCATAGCTGAAGAATCCGAGCTGACAGCAAACACCACCTCTAATCCCTAAAATGAGGACTGTAAAGTCAAGGATGAGCTCTACTGAAACCAGTCAATTTGTTAACTGCTGAGAGGAACTTGATTTAATGTGACAATAGCTACCCTCATTCAAGAGATTCAAAAGAGTTTGTGTTCCTAAATTACTGTTTTGGAAAGGATATTACCTGATTCGGAAATTACAGCAGGATGTTGGCAAGCTTTAAGTTCTCTGGGCAGGACTTCAGCAGTCCAGAGTCTTTTCTACACTCTCAGCATCGACTTGGCCACAATACAATCCTATTTATCCTGAAACATCAGAACCAGCCCAAGTCAGGACCAGTCCTGACAAAAGGGGAGAAAGTAGTGAGCTAACTACCCGAAGCACATGTATCTCCTTAAATTGCTGTAGTCTATTCAGAACATGATTTGAATTAAATATGTGAAGCATACAGACAGGAAGTTCATGGTAAACTGCAACTGTACAACACACCACAGATCTGAGAATTAAAGGGGAAAGTCCTGTATATGCACACAAAATATATTCATGACTATTTAACTGGTTTATTCTATTTTCAACCTAAAGTTGAAATAACTTGTACATTTAAAAGATGCTATCAGATCACTGCATTAATTAAAAAAAAATACATGTTACAATATAAAGTTTAAAATGAAAAATACATAATATAATGAAAAAAAAAAGTGGAAGAACATGAATGCAACCCAGCATATATGGACATCTAATCAAATTTTTTAAAGACTGGGAAATAATGTATACAAATAAACCCCTAATTTTGACCTTCCCTGATCTCTAAGTTGGTCATCACACTTCTTTATCATCTTCAGAATGTGCATTTTTTTCATTATATTAATAAGGCTAGTGACTTTCCAGATATAAGTTTTAATAGCAAAATTTATTCAAATAACAATTGTACATTATCTGTATTAGTAATTTTGTTATCCAAGTTAAGTATGCCCCATATTTCTTTTTTGCAGTTTTGCAGTAAGAGGTTTCAACACCAACTGACTTTGGGGGATTGGTTGCTCTTACTTTCTGATGGCTCTTCATTCTTATCCATGATGGAAAGGCCATTAATATACAAACAGGCACTACAGAAATGGTTCATTCTCTGTTCAGTAGCTGCAGAAATTTTTAGAGATAATTTTTTGCCATAAGCTTCCCACATAGAAACTCCAAGCTAATGGATAAATTAACCCTTATGTTTTCGATCATTTTATATCACATTTTTCATCATTACTGATATGCCACCCCTTACCACTCCCTACCAAAACCATTATGGTGTACTTTAAACAAATTCAGCTCCTTCAAGCTGAGACTGACAGCCAGTCAGTGCATAGTACATTTCATTATAAGACAAGAAACCTTGGTCAAAGACACCCAGATTCTACTTTTTACAAAATGAGGTTTATAATGAGGTTGTAATCTTCTGGCAGAGCTGTGCAGGATCTCAGTCTATGAGGCTTTATCCTAAAACTCGCACTGAGAATTTCAAAACAAATTTGAAAAGTCTGCAGAATTAAAGGTCTATAAACTGACATGCAATGGATAGTGCTTAGCATACATCAAATGTATATCAGCAATAAGGACTGCCACTCAGGAGAGAAATTTTGCTGGACGTTGCAGGTTGTCATCTTTAAGACTGCAGTTCTGATGCAGACAGCTCATCTATTATGCTCCACAAGTCTTCAGTTTGGGGATATCTTAGTACAGAACTATCCAATTAATTGCTTAAAGCTGTAGTAATGTTATGCATGACAAGCAGGAAAATTGCTCTGATTAGGCAAAAGTGCAGAGTCAGACCTCAGAACAATGCAGTTGTGTTTCCTTGTGAATACACAGGATAGGAAAACCAAGACAGCTCTTCTCTTTGAGTGGATGTGAAATATGTACTTGATGCTTTCATTAAAAATCAAGTAAATGGCATTTTTATATCATCACTGTCACGGAGGGCCGCCAGTCCCCTTTTACTGAAAGAGAAACGTCTGTCTTTGAATGGCGTTCTTGGAACAACATCTCTTACTCTTTCCACTGGAACATAAACAAAAATTCTCCTTACCAGAAATACACGAACAGAAGCAAGTGTAAGTCAGCTAGGATCACTGCAAATATATTGCCATTTCTTTCTCTTTACCACTGAGAACACTTATCCTTTTCCTAGGAACCCTTCTGGATATGCTAGTAGTGGAGACACTGCACTCTGACCACTTCAGGAGAGCACAAATTCCAGTTCAGCTGCAAAAGGGGCATTAAAACTGAAACAAGTGAATAATTAAATATGATAGATAAAAATTAAATTAAAACAGAAAAATGTCCTACATTAAGACAAAAACTCAGAGGAAGATCAGATGTTCCATAAGCCAAAAATAACAGGCACAGATAAGATGGCTCCTGCTCTAGTTTCACAAGTGACAGGTATATGTTCCAGCATCAAGGCAGAGGTCAACCTGGAACTGAAAGAAAAGTTAAAATAAGAAATTATTAACAGAATATAAGAGAAATATCATTAATAACTGATGCACTTTAGGAAGCATCAGGAAAAAATAACATGTAAGTAATGAGATGCAGTTCCCTCCATTCTGGAAATCCTTTTAGGTGAAGGTCATTGACCTTAGCCATTAAGGTAATGAAATTAGAAAGGAAATTACCTAAATAAGCTGAAAGGTCTCAGTTAAAGCAGTAACATCCAAGATTATTGTAATCATTTTTCACAGTTCTAGTAAACCATTTATTTATATTATGCTTTACAGTTGTATAAGTATACACCACAGTTTTAAAGGTGTGTCAATGTATGAATGTACACTAACAGTGTACAGTGACATTCTCACATTTTTCTGGACCAAGGACCTATGTAATAAACATTATATATGTAAAACAATGTACACATAAACAGTATATAAACAAGAAGTGTGAAGAACAAGAGAAAAGCATGACCTAACTCTGAGGTTAAATCTGCTCTGAACAGGAGGCTAGACCAGACAATTTCCAAAGTTCCCTTCCAGCCTCAACTATTCTCTGATTCTACAGCAGGTTCTTTTTCTATAAACTACAAGCAAACATCTCACCTTATGAACCTCCTTGTGGTTGACCACTGGAGAGTAGCTTTGGGAACCAGTAGCAGAGCGAAGCTGATGTAACAAGGTCCCACATGATCTTACAGTTGTAGGGCTACTGGAAGTAACGATATTCCCAACACCCGGCAGGTGAAGCTTGAATGCGTACGTCTTCCGCCCTACCACAATTTTCTTAGATACAATGTTTTACATAATTGTTAGCTCTTGCAATTACTATGGAACCAAAACGGTCAGAACGGATAAAATGAGGGTGGAACTATAAATTGCAAACATGATGTTAAGCTCTTGAGAAATATAGTGAAAATGTGACAGATACATAAAAGTTTGTGTGTGCAGTATTGGGGCTACAAAACAGTTTACAGACACTCTGAAACAAGTCTTTTTGAAGAAAGGTTGGGGTTTTTTCTGACAAGTCTTGAAAAAAGCAGGAGAAATCAGAGTACAGGTAGAAATGATAATGGCCATAGTACTTGGACAGAGTTACAAAAATTAAGAAAGAACAGAAAACAGTTCTCAAAAAAATTCCCTTTAGTGTATTTATGTTTGAGCATCAAATCATATTTGTTCAGTGAATGGTTTATTACAGAGATAAAGTGCTCAAAATTACGGAGACTGTACACCAGAGTTTTCACAGAAGAAGAGAACTAAATGACACATTGATCCCCAGCTGTGCATAAACATAGCCCCACAACTCCGTTCGTACTAAGAGATACTCCAAGTGAAGTGCTAGGCTCACATCACATGTTTGGCCCATAACTATATCTGAACCCTGCATTGACCACTTACCTCTTTCCCTGTGCTAAGCAACCACTCACCCTCCAAGTGGACACAGAAGAGCTGTCAGAAATGGCATGTAGAGATTAGTGGAAATTAGGCACATCTCTTGCTAGAGCCCTGTGTTAGGACCAAAAGCAGCTCAGAAACTCAGAAGAGAGTAGAGAGCGGACCCAGAATAATCCTGACCGTCTGCTGAAGTCACATTAACTACTTTTGGGTTTGCAAGACAGAGGATGAGATAGCACCAAGACAGCTAGCCTGGGGACAGGCTTCAGGTTATTAAGACAGCTACGGGGTTAGCCAGGAGGGATACAAACTTCGGTGTATTTTCCTGAGGGGAAGGGGGAAAATGGGAGTTAAGACCGACCAAGTAACCTGCCTGGTAGCAAGAGTTAGACGATGGCAGCCTTCAGCTAGCCAGAGGCGTCCATGAAAACTGCACAGAATCAGTTCTGAAATCCAACTGTAATGTCCATTTGTTGTAGAAATTAATTCCCCAAAGAAGAGAGCAAAGGAAAAAAATCAAACATAGCAAATTTTTCTGACATTACAAAATGAAGTGCAAGCCTATACCCTTCTCAATATACTATCTGTTAAAATAAGTACTTCCTTGGCAGTTCATTTCTGATGACAGCCAATTCCCCAAATATTAGTACCATGAAGCATTATTAGATATTGAACCACTGAAGAAATACAGTAGCAGAATAAATAGCAATGCTGTTCTATTTTTTTGAACTAGATTTTTGAAACAAAGTGTGGGTCTCCTAGCTACACAGGTGTGACAGAGAAGCAGTATGACTGAATAATGAAATAAAATGTTTCTCTATTAAATACATTAAACCAGTTAATGCAGATGAATAGGTACAGCTCACTTGCTTTCCACTAGCATTGGCTTGCAAATTATTTGCAAGCGGATGCTAAATTCTGTCTTTGGTAGGGATCCAGCAAAATTACTGCCAGATCGCACCTCCTGGGAAATGTGGGACTTGGCATGCGATTTGGCACAAGACTTTACAAATGTCAGCTTTCCTGTAGAAACATCAGGTCTGTTGTCATGAAAACATCAGTTATGAGTAATTTCTTTTCTTAATATTACTAGCCAATACAAATAGAGAGGGGATGAGATGTCAGTCATGTGCAGCCATGCACTCAGGACTGGATTTTTGTAACACAATTGCCCAGAATAGAAATA